GGAAAAAATCAAGCAGGCTGGAGGTTACAAACAGAACCAGGAGGGGAACCATGATTGTGGAAAACTAAATGCGCCATGCACACGCTTTGATGTGGTGGGGAACGCGAGAGTCGCTCCCGTGGTGAACCCACCTATTGAACAAGGAAAATTAACCATGAAGCGTGATCTAACAGGAAATGATAACCAACAAGATCGAGGGGAGAAATTGTTAACTGGAAACGCGATCAATTGTGTCGCAAAATTGCGTGAGAGTACTGTAAAAGTGCCTGGGAAACGCGTTACGGAGACAAAAATCCATGATGGATCGGGGAATGTGTGGAAATCCAGCACACACAAAAACATGGAATCGAATCGAGGCACGGAATCGAATCGTGGTACGGAGTCAGCAAATCTGCACATGGCTGTGGAGAAGGCAAATGACCCCAACAGTCGAGCACGGAAACTCGTGTTGTGTACTAATCCTGGTGGCGCACGACATGGCTTCACGCCACATAAACCCACAGGGAAGGCGAGGGATAAAAAAAATTACCGATACGAACCAAGGAACCATGCTCATTTGGCTAAAGCCATACCGACGATGAACCAAAACGACGATGTGATGATGTTGCATGGAAAGGTCACAGGTTACTCTAAAATACCTGGTCATGAGAAAAATTATTCTGCACTCTTGACCAAAGGTGGCAGTAAGGTTGCCAATAACTTGGTAAACATTAAACAAAGAGATGCCAGGAGGGAAACGGTGTACCACCGGGCGCGAAACCGCTATCCAGTGTTTCCCAGGAACTGAAACAAAAATCAAAGTAGCAATAATTGATAACAACCGATGTAACATGTTGCCTTTATTTTTTTCTTTTTCCTGTTCTTTTATTTTCTTATTTCAAATGTAATCATGCTGTGACACGTACGCGCGCGTTGTAAGGAAAAATCAGTCAACTCGAGGAATGTCGATGGTTCTAGATGGAAAAGGCATTTTTCTTTTATTTTTAAAAATAATCCGTGGCAGACCACCGATCATTTTTAAAAGGGCGGTGTGTTGTATATGAGCCTTTTCCAAAATTGATATTAACAATAATATTTGCCGTTATATATATCATATTTTTTTTTTACAAACGAATTTTTTTTTATAATTAATAAACCCCATAAGCCAGGCACACGCAAAACCAGGTGTCGGTCATAAACAGGCCATTAATAAATAAAGAAATAATAAAACTCTCGAGGCGAGGATGTTAGCAGCTATCTGCGAAAATCTCCAGATGAACAAGAGTTTGATGGGCCCCTTAGGAAAGGTCCCTCCGAGGTCAGAACACCAAGAGAGCAGACACCAGACGCCAACAGGGTAAATCGTATACATATTCTTTTCCTTATTTTCCAGTAAAACAACAAAAAAATTAAAAGGCAACAACAAGAATAAGATAAAAGTAGCGAGCCTAACGCTCACTCCAATTAAGAACAGGCCACCAGACACATCAGTGAATTATTATCCAATGATTAATTCACTATCAAATGATTTTCACCTTTAATACTTTTACTGTTAAAACAAAGCTTGGAGCAAGAATACCGAGTCACATCAAAGGTTATCGAGAAGGAATGAGACAACGAGCAAACTTGCGAAAGAGTTTAAACAATATTCCAAGCAACCCCGACCACCTTTGTCTCTCTCACAGCGCGGAGAAGCAGGAATTACACCTTATCACAAGGGGCCATCTGGAAAAGCCAGCCGGGTTTGATGAGGAGACACACCCACCCCACACACGGCAACCAGGCAAAGAAAGTTTCAAAGAAAATTGCAAAATAATATTAATAATAACAACGTGTTAACCTTACACGACATTCCATTATAGAACCTTACAGAACCAAGGGATATGGATTCCAACAATCAAGAAATGGACCTCTTAAACTCAGGATGATAATTATTTTTCTTTTTAATAATTCCATCATAACAATTCGAACCTCGGTAAAACCGAGAGGTGTCGGGAGGACGTAGTTACAAACACGAGTCTTGGCGAACATGGGACCAAATGGTATTTGAGAAATATAAGTCGAAAGTATAAAGAGGTGCTCCCGACCACCTTTGTCTCTCCCGACCACCTTTGTCTCTCCCGAAGAGCGCGAGAGAGGAATTTCACGCCAGGGCAACCAGATCGTTATCGCGGGGACCATCTGCCACACACGGAACTTAGTATTAGCCCCCACCCCACCCTGCACACGGGCAGCAAAAGAGCGAGCGAGCTTTAAGTTAAACTGTCACACATTTATAAACGCACAAAGTGACGAAAATTAATAAACTAAGTAAGAGCCAAGGTAACGGGGTGGATTAGGCTGGTAGAATGTGGAGTCGAAATGATATTTGCAAAGTATAGAGAGATGGGAAGATCCTGGCCACCTTTGTCTTTCCCTGCAGCACGTGATAAAATGCATACGCTCGGAAGAGCATCTTCACTTGGAAATAAATCAAATACTATGAATGACAAGCAGGATCATAACTGTGTATGATAAGATACCAACTGTGATGAGAAATGTTAAACTTAAAAAAAAATCTTAACCATTTCTTTGTGCGTCGGAACGCGTACGGAAAAGGGGGGGGGGGGGGAACCCGCCCCTCTCTCTGGGTGGAGGGATTAGACAACCAGACGCCACCAAGATGAATCGAGGTGTCTGTTGTCTTGATGTTTATGGCTTGAGGAAAGACCCGAACAGGACCATGTCATAAATGACACACACACAAACATACACACTGACACACGAACCCCCCCCCACCGACATACGATCAGATCAAAGATTGCTCCACCTCGTGAGGGGGAGCCGAGAAGGAGAGAGATTTTTGGCATAAAAAGGAGCCGTTTCAGCACCAACTCAGCTCATCAGCCCTCGGGGCCAACTCATCAGCCCTCGGGGGCAGCTCAACAGAAGAAGACTCATCTCAACTCAGCTCAACAGAAGAAGACTCATCTCTACTCATCTCAGCAGAAGACCCGCTCAACTCATCTCAGCAGAAGAACAGCCATCACCGACGCCGGAGACGTCTCTACAACTCGCCGAATTGGCGAGTGTCGCCGATTGGCGACCCGCTGCCGCTGTTAGCGGCCAGCGCCACCACGAGCGAATCGTGAGCCTGCAATCTACAACCGCCGACGACGGAGCACCAGCGTGCCAGCTGCTCGCAGACGTACTGCGCGCATTACCTACCGAGTCCGCGTACAACCGCACCGCTGCGGGCGTGCTTCTAACGACGTCTACCCGACGGTCATCTCAGCTACAACAACGCATCTACTCGTTCACCAACGTCCGTCGAGCCCGAACCAACTACTGAAAGAAGAATCAACTGATACGTATGATACACTGCCCCCCACTACACGACAAACCAGACGTCTGCTTGACGCAAAGAATCGATTCCGAACATTGGCCTACTCTTTCACCACTCATACCATTCAACACACACACACACGGGTCATTAACAAAGCCTAAAAAACCTCAAGCCATTGAACCATCCGTGATTGTGGAAACATCGCAATGACCGAGTGAATAATCCATCGTTTTTAAGAGTGTTCATAATTTTTCTCTGTAATATTGTGCTGGGGCTGTACTTCTAACCGCATAAATTACCAACTGACCCATTAACAAGGATTAATTCTTGACACCTCACCACGGAGCGCCGCTCGCGGGGATAGAGAGCGTGTTCAACCGGTTCCCTGTCAGGGGTCTGGCCACAATTAATTAAAAGATTGGCCCGAGATAAGGATATCAAAAGGAAACATCGCCACCCATTGAGTCGCGTTGAGAAGTTGATTAGAAATACTTGAGTCGTTCGTTAATATTTGTCTTTCTGCATAATCTTGCTGGTATCCACGAATGAAATAACGAATTGAAACGCATAGTTGTGCCTCCAAGAATAATACTGGTTGTAGTGCCCTGTCAACGAGTAGCGTTGCATAATAATCAGTCATCCTATTGTGAACAACGTGACAATAATTGCATTAAGGGCCGCGCATGATCAATGACCGAATGCTGTGTTGTGTGACAATTCAAGTAACCAAGCATTGTGGCCATCGAGTGGTGTTGATAAGGCAATTCGAAGTATTTCAGTCGAACGCTTTAAATTCATAATCGTTATGAATCAATGAACGAACATCAACGTGGTACTGTGCTGACGATTTCAAGCATAATAACTTCGCATATCAGGATGTATTAAGGATTGGATACGAATCAAAGACCAAGTGCCGTGTTGTGTAACAATTCAAGCATACGAGTTTGCATATTATAAAGTTAAGGTTTGATAGAATAGTTCGCATGTTTTTAATCTCTCTCTCAACAACCGATCGATTGCGTTACGCGTCGGGAATTAACCACAGGTGCCGCTATCGAGGTGAAACAACGCAATCGTGATGGTATCATGTTAACGCTGTGTTGAAATTCCAAAATCCCGAGATTGAGTTTTTATATTATCCAAAAATTAAAGTTAGCTAGAAATAAAATTGATTAAAGCAGAAGGTTTGTGTGTGATTCTTCCTGAAATTCTGCATAATATTGTTCTGCGTATGAGATCTGAATTCTGGGGACCTATCATAAGCACACTATCACCACACATAATCCATAACACGCATAATTCGTAATGTTCAATCGAGAGTAATCGTATCCTTATCGATAATACGGAATTAAAGAGCAGAGTCGAATCGACTCTCTCTCATTCACGATCACAACGCCTGCGTCACTGCATACGATTAATTGCGTCATTCCAATTCATAACACAATCCTCGTCACCGAGGCTCGACCTGATAATCCATAACGACCTGCATTATCATAACCACGCCCACTCGCATAAATTAATACAATTATCTCTCGATTCAGCATAATTTATGTGCATAATTACACTGATTAACATAAATTTCGGATAAATTATGCAAATCTCAAATTTCATTTAATTTTCATTATTTTCATCAATTTTCATAACACCTATATATACAACAACTGTAAATTGCTGTTTTGCTAAATTATTACCATTCTTTAAGACTCCTGGGTAGGCTAGGCCATTTTCGACTTACGATATATTCAACTTACGATGGGGTCGTCGTAACGCATCTCCATCGTAAGTCGGGGACTACCTGTATACTGAAATGTACTGCATAACGTTGCAACGTATTTAAAAGTTGATCTTTTCTAGATTTGAAGCTTTCGTGACTGCAAGGATCCATACTCTTTGGTTCTATTCGGTAAAGTCACGTAGGTAAAAAAAAAAATCACGTTTCGGCCACAACACAAGCAGCCTTCATCAGGTGAAGGGACCAGCCTGTCTCGAAGACTGCGCTGGAGTGAAACAGAGCAAAGCTCAGACTATGACCTCTTATAGAGGGAAGCCAAGTAGTAGTACATTCTATATTTGTTGCAGAGGTTCAAGGTTCAAATCCGACTGGCTTATCAGTCATCGCCCCCGACTTACAAACTCATATCCACAGGCAGGCCAGTGAACGATCACCTTGCGGCACACAGGGGCAGATGCCCATTATGGGCACCCTTCGAGTGTTCAAGATGATATATGATACAAAACACTTGAGTCGCTCCTGGTTAGAAATCGACCCAACTCACAGGTCCACAAATACTGGCCACTCTTACACTGCAGTTTGAACCTAGAAATTGAGTGTTCAACGTCACATTATTTTCATTAGAAAGGCCTGTGACAAAGGTGCATCCGTTGGAGCTTAATTGTCTCAAGATTACACATCTACAGGGTCTCTATTTGACTTTGTATTGTCTAAGAAGTCCACCCACACCTCCACATCCACAAACTGCTGGGAGTTGCCTCGCTCTGCATCACAGTCAGAATTCTCCTCCTGCTTCACGCTGCCTCCATCTATGTGAAGGTCCAATTTTGGAGTTGAATCATCTTCAAATTTAACCTTCACATCTACGCTCTTCACCGTTACTTCTTCACATTTCACCTTCACCTCTTCATATTTCACCTTGATATCTTTCAAAGTGTCCAAGCTGGAATTTTCTTCTGGTTCTTGTTTCATGAACAATGGGGTCATTGCAGCACTCTGACTTTCACAAGCTGATTTCAGATTACATTTCTTGTGGATTTTCTGATGCTTGTGTGTTCTCTGGTGTGTATTAAGATTTGATGACTGTGCAAACACCTTCCCGCACTCGGTGCGCTTGAAGGGTTTCTCTCCTGTGTGTGTTCTCTGGTGTTGTTTAAAAGTAGATGAACCTGAAAATGCCTTCCCACACACACTGCACTTGAAGGGCTTCTCTCCGGTGTGTGTTCTCTGATGGGTCTGAAGAATTGATGACTGTGCAAACGCCTTCCCGCACCGAGTGCACTTGAAGGGTTTCTCTCCTGTGTGTGTTCTCTGGTGTTGTTTAAGAGTAGATGAACCTGAAAATGCCTTCCCACACACACTGCACTTGAAGGGTTTCTCTCCTGTGTGTGTTCTCTGGTGATTTTTAAGAGTAGATGAACCTGAAAATGCCTTACCACACAAACTGCACTTGAAGGGTTTCTCTCCCGTGTGTGTTCTCTGGTGTCTTTGAAGATGTGGTGACTGTGCAAATGCCTTCTTGCACACAGTGCACTTGAAAGGTTTCTCTCCTGTGTGTGTTCTCTGGTGGGTCTGAAGATTTGATGACTGTGCAAACGCCTTCCCACACAGAGTGCACTTAAAAGGTTTCTCTCCTGTGTGTGTTCTCTGGTGATTTTTAAGAGTAGATGCATCTGAAAATGCCTTCCCACACACACTGCAACTGAAGGGTTTATATCCTGTGTGTGTTCTCTGGTGGGTCTGAAGAACTGATGACTGTGCAAATGCCTTCTCACACACAGTGCACTTGAAAGGTCTCTCTCCTGTGTGTGTTCTCTGGTGTTGTCTAAGAGTAGATGAATCTGAAAATGCTTTCTCACACACACTGAACTTGAAGGGGTTCTCTCCTGTGTGTGTTCTCTGGTGCTGTGTCAAATTTCCAGTACGATCCGTGCTTTTTGCATACTGGTCACATTGTTTCCTTCTTGTACCGAGCTGCGCCGAGTGCCTTTGCTCCATCAGATCAATTCTGCAGAGGAAGCGTCAGAAGAAGAGTCAGCTGCAGACAGAAAAACATATCCACAAAATCTACCTGAGTATTGAGGCACAGAGGAATGCATATATACACAGTCACACATGACTTACACGTCTATACATTTTCATATTTTCATGATATAGTGAAAGAGATTCCCCAATTCATCACATGGGCTGTTAAGGCACACAACGAGAGGGCAAATGGCCATGAATATGCCTGGACACCCTAGTGTCTTCAAAATGAATGTTTAACAAAACTCCAAGAACACAATTTCGGTTGTCTAGCTACGACAGGAATATTTATTTAAGAAAAATTAGCTAACATAGCAAAGGCTGTTGAAAAGAATACTATTTGTATTATGCAGAAATGTATAAATTAATGTTCATTTGAACTTAGAGGTGTGAAGCCAGGCTCATATTAACTTGAATGCTAGGATGAACAAATCTAACTTCAGCTGCATATGTGCAATGTTAATTTCCTGACTGTTTCCATTCTTATACAAATTTTTCAGAGCAAAACTAAAATAAACTATTATTATGATTTAACCTCCACGTTCAATCGAGTCAATATACTTGACAGCAAATACAAACTTCACACGTTCATACACTTGCATTGTAAAAAGGTGGTTAAATTTTGACTTAAAACTTCCGTGACTGCAGGAATTCATATTCTTTGGTTATTTCAGTAAAGACACGTAGATAGGAAATAATAATACAAATAAAAATAACAAATAAAATAAAAACGACTAATGTTGACTGTTGCCTGGTTCTTAACCTCGGTGAGCGTACTGGCAGTCTATAATGTAGACTGTAGCCTGGTTCTTAACCACGGTGAGTGTACTGGCAGTCTATAATGTAGACAATAGCCTGTTTTTTGACGAGACCTTGGCAATGGACTAGACCTTGGCGATGGACACTCACAGCTTTGTATGGAGAAAAAGTCCAGGCAGCTTCCACAGTGTTACAGAGCCTAATGAAAGAATGCTGCTCGACTAATTTGAAGTGAGACTTTGGATGCCAAACCAGAGCTGGTCGTGAACATATTAACCAGGTATGGGAACTCCTCCAACACGTGTAGAACTACCTGATTATTGGGTCTTTCGGTAAAGTCACGTCACTTTACCGAAAGACCCAAAGAATATGAATTCCTGCAGTCACGAAAGCTTTAAGTCAAGATTTTTCCAGGGAGGTGATCTTTTTGTAGAACATATGCAAGGCCCCATTTCATCATGGAATTCTCCAGGTACAGAATAAGATTCTCCAACTCAATATCATTGAGTAGCCATGACAAGATCATCAACATGCGTAACATGGTTGAACAGCAGGGGACGATCCCTTGACTATAGCCAGGCATCGATTTGCATATCATTGTTACTGTATGGAATACAATTTATTATAGGGCCATTGTGAGCTTCTCAAAACACATCATTATTTGAAAATGCTACGTAATGTAATGCATGGGGCCAGAGGGAATTTCGGCCATAAGCCAAACTGAACAGGAAAGGGATCAGACTCCTGGTCACGCAGCTTTAGATGGGCCTGCCTAAAATCATAAAAATCCTCAACGAATGTGAGCAGAGGCAGAGACATCAAAAACGAACAAAAAACAATCCAAAAACCCAAGCCTCTTTATGGCACTATAGGCCGTAATTACACCAAGAAAGCAGAGATCTAGGTTCTGCTGAAAATCCGTACTCCTGTGCTATAGCTGATTGACAAAAAAGTACAACAGCCACTTGAATAGCGCAGGTTACATTCTTGGAAAGTGCCGTGCGAAAGCTAAAATGGCGATATTCAATACTTAACCCTTACCTAAACAATGGGGTTAGGTAAACGGCAACTAAAATATACCTCACAATCGAAATAATTACTGTACTGTATTCCAAATAAACTAAATCACTGAAATAAACGTGCAGAAACCGTATACAAAACATTCCAAGACGAGTATAAATGTATATAAATAAAGAAAACTTCGTGTTTTTTTGAGAACCAAATTGCACCAACACTATTAAACCTACACACCTGTTCACCTTCAACACCTGTAACACCTGCACACTCCAACACCCCGCCGCTGCTATATTTTTTCTCATTTACCACATTATCCTTACATATTATCAGGCCTGCAATTTTGCCACAAAACTAATTCACTTCCGGCTCCTTACTGTCCTCTCTGCATACACACGGCTCACCTCTAATATACTGCAATATTTCATCATGGGACCTTTTGCCAGTACCAAAATATGAGAATAGGTTTTCCCTTTTTTCTGGCAACAAAACAGGTGTTAAAATATTCATATTCTTGGTTCTTTCGGTAAAGTCACGTAGAAGATGTTAAAACACAAAACTGAAACCTTTCACAAGGAATCATGTGTGCTTGGCCTGGTAAAATAAAAAAAACTGTAGAAATTTTTAAAAGAAAAAAAAGATTCAAAGTAGTGAGCCAGGTGAAGACAAATTAAACTTAAGCAGAGAATTCAACCAAATTCAATCAGGCGAGGGCAGGAGGCATTGTCCTTGAAACTGGTGTGGACCAATCAGTTTCAAGGACAATGCATAAATGATCCGTGTTGTTTTTTGTTTGCATTCTGACTGCAAGTATTGTGGTTAATGTAAACACGATTCCTTGTGTAATAAATCAGCTCGACGACAATTGACTGTCTTCTTTATTTATTTGTTCTCGTGCTCGACAGCTCCGCGTTCTTCCACCCTGTTCCTTCGTCCCACGTGGCGCCGCGTGAGCTAGTGTCCCGCGCGTGTGCGCCGCTGGCAGACGGCGCGCTAGGAGCCTGTCTATGCACCGCCATGTGGCCGATGGCTCGCGGAGACCCGAGACGTGGACCCGCTTCCAGACCTTATTCACTGACCCTGAGTCCCTTCCGGCTTTCCCTTATAACCCCTTCCCGCATCACCCAGACCCCGCCTCTCGCCACACCCCTTCACGAACTCTAGATAGTACCCCACTAGCACCCTCGGGCTCCACCCTTGAACTTTAACCCAAATAGTTCCTGTTACCCGATTGGCTTAGAGGCTGAGGCGGCCAAGCCCACCCCACCGTTCGGATACCGCCAGCATACGCTCGCACTACACTTGCAAAATGTTTCAGTTTTGTTGCCAGAAAAAAGGGGAAAAAACATATTATGAATAAATTATGTTAATGAGCAGGCCCATATGTTGGGTGATGGGCATGGACAGGGGCGGAGCCAGGATTTTCAGCCCGGAGTGACATTCAACAAATTTTTATTTCAAGAATGATTAGAGAGTCAGGCTGTTGAACTAGAGTTCAGACGAAACGATTGCGGTTGGCGACACACTCTGACAATGCAGTTGCACGGAGTCCGCCAAACCGAGTGTAGTCCACTTACACGCAGAAAGTTTCAGATTTTCGATTTTTTATTTTTTTTCGGGGGTGACAATTTGTCTACCCTGTCACCCCCCTGGCTCCGCCCCTGGCCGTGGATGCTGAACCCGTCGCAATGAACTCGCGACGGTATTTATGAATACATTATGTTAATGAACCGCCAATGACTGGACGTAGCTTTGCCAAAAAAAGGATTTTTACTGGAACAGAAATCAGCAGTGATCAACCAGACGTGACCTCACGCTCAAAAGCACGGTGGAGTGGGGGTTGGGCGAATACCTTGGTAACGTGACATTTCTAGCGGGGTACACCTCCCTCAGGTGTCTCACACCGATGAGGTAATGCGGAGTTGTGACGTCAGAGAGCGAGAGAGAGAGCGGGGTTTGAGTTTAAGTTAATTTAGATTCCTTTTCCATTGCTCCCTCTCTTGAGCAGAGACCCCTTGGGTGCATGAGCTCTACAACGTGAACATTATTGTGTCTGTACACTGTGTGGGCACAGTAGGGGGCACAGGTGGTGTGTGGTGCCATGGCCGCAGAGAAACTGCCTAAGGGCCTCGACTCCCCCCTGGCCCCTACACTGAGTATACACACACAGCGCACACACGTAGTGTCCTGGCGTTGGATTGCCTGGCACATCGGGTTTTAATCCGAAGGGCCCCTAGAGGGAAAGTCCCTAGGTTTCCTGGTGCCAGGAGATTTGCCAACCCTCGCAGGACAAGTCACATTGCGGTGCCCCTAAATTGACCTAACATTGTATGGGCACAGAAAGAAAAGGTTCACCTGGCCAACCGCTTTAGTTATTCACGACATTGGGGGGGGGGGGGGAGGGGGGGAACTGAGGGTGGAATATTAAGCAAGAAGAGCATGAGGTCAGGAGAATCGCAGCGCCACTGCCGCCTCCCATCTCGGCTCTTATAATGAATGCACACTTGTCGGCTGTGTGTTCGCCAGTTGGGCACCCTTCCAGATACCCCGCAGCGAGAGACAATGGGTGGCCGGCACCGCCACCACGGCACTCGAGGGACAATGGATGGCAGTGAGTAGAGCTTCGAGGTACATGGTAGGACGTTTGAGTGCCTGGGTACGTAGGCAGAGTTAGGGGTCTTCTCGCGAAATATTCCCCCAGGTGGTGGGTATTTGCGCCACGAATAAAAGTTAGCACAGAGCATCGGTGTGGTGTCGGTGATTTGTGTGTGGAGCGACTGCGTGTGGAGCGACACATTGCGAGAGGAGTGAACACGGAGCCGCAGCGTGTGTTAGGACATAATCGTCCACAGGTGCGCGCGCACGTTAGCGCCGCCGCGTTAGCGTAAGCTGTAGTGTGTGCGCGTGTTAGGATATAATTGCTCGCAGGTGTGGGTGCGGTCGTGCAGCTGTGCGCCGCGTTAGCGCGAGTGGTGGTGTGCGCAAGAGTGAACACGGGAGCCGCAGTGTGTGCGCGCGTGTTAAGAGGAATCGCTCACAGGTATGGTGGCGGTCGCACAGCTGTGCGCCGCATTGACGCGAGTGGTCGTGTACACGGCCAAGTGTGGGTTAACCCCATACGGCGGTGAGCCAGCAGTTTAGCCATGTCCCTCAGAGAGGGCGCTCGCGTAGGGGGGCCGATCACCCGGTCGGCGGGGGCCCGACGGGAGCCAATCGACGCGGTGGAGGGAGCGGAAGGGGCGAAATTTTGCGTCCCACCTGCCCAGCGAGGGCAGTGGGGTGGATGTCGGTCCCCACAGAATAGTGTCAGAAGTGGGACGACTCCCCACGCCTCCAAGGGAGAGAGGCGCCCCACCCCAAGCGACAGTAAGGTACGTGTTCACCGGGCAAGGAATACCATCATGGAAATCGTTTGCCCGGAACCTCACGTCTGCAAGAAACATTAATGGCTGGACAGACGCGCAAGAGCTGCAGCAGCTTAACATTAATTTGGATGGGCGGGCAGCCGACTTTGTGGAAGCACTACTCGCAAGCGCACAAGCGCATTGGGGAGAGGCAATGCACCGCCGCGGCCAACGCTTTGGTGAGTGCGACCGGGAGGAGGCAAAGGCAGCATTAAATATGCGCCGCCACCAGCCCCGCTAGGACCTCTGCAGCTACGCCGAGGACGTGCACTTGCTGACGCAGAGCGCACGCCCGGGATATGCTGACGAAATCATAGATGACCTCGCCGCCGAGAAAGTTCAGCAGTTTCTTGATTAGCACGGCGCGGTGGCAGCCAGATGTGAATTGCCGGGATCCCCCACATAATACCCTTGTCGAGCGCGTGCGTGTGTGTGTTTGTGTGTGTGAGAGATTTGCTCGCGAGCGTGCGCAGTTCCGACGGCTGGGACGGGAGCGCACCATCGCAAGTCTTCTTCCAGGGGAAGAGGAGAAGCTCGCCAAGACGGTGAAGGGGGGGGGGACGAGGGAGCCTCCGGGACCCCGTGAGACAACCCCAGGGTGGGTGGAAGGGATACAGACTGGCAAAGGAGATATCGCAGGCCATGTCACCCAAGTACGCGAGGAGGTAACTAAAGTATGCGGGGAGGTGACCCAAGTACACGGGAATGTGACCAAGCTGCAGTCCACAGCGGAGATAGTCCAGTCCGAAGTGGGACGGCTACGCTCCATGGTCGGGGGGCTAACCGGGCGAGTGTCTCAATAAGAGGCAAAACTCGAACAAATGCGCACTGGGAGGGGAAGGGGGAGTGGGCAAAGGGCCTCTTATGGAGCCACCGCCCTTCCCCATGCGTGCTATCTATGCGACCAATGGTGGCATCTCGTCAGAGACTGTCCCCAGATTGCCCGCGCGAGAGAAGCACCGGGGTTAAACATCTAGGCCTCCCTAATGAGGGGACCACCGAGGGGTGCAATCGACGTGGTCCCAACACAAATCAACTGTCATGATAATGGTGAGCGAGTGACCCTCACGCAGATGCCGACAACACCACCCCAGAATGCGGCGACTACGGGTGACTGGCTCCGGGAGCTAGTGGCAGGAATAATGGGGGCCACGTCGCTCGTGGAAGGGCAGGTGAACAGGCGGCGTACCCACATTCTGCTGAACATAGGGGCGGTAAAATCACTCGTGAGTGCAACGTACTGCAGCGTGGTCGGGGTTGACGTGGGCCGCCTACAGGCCCAGAATCGTGCGCTGCACACTGCAAGTGGAACTGGGATGGGACTGCTGGGGAGGGTCACCCTTATGGGTCGCCTCGGACACCAGGTGTGTAACCAGGAGTTATATGTGTCGAGCGTATTGTCACGAGTGTAATGCAGGTACCGACCTCCTGGAAAAGTTGGAGTTCAACGTGCAGCCCCGCCAGCGATACGCCACCGTGGAGGGCAGCGGGGAGCGGATTCCTTTCTTGGGACAAGAGCCGGGTTGCCCTCGCTTCGAGCCTGTGGCCGCTATCCTGGCGTCGGCCGTCACCGTTGGCATTCGTGTTCCACTGAGTTTTCCGTTTTTCTCCCAAACCTAAACTCAAAATATATTTGGTGGTGGTCAAACAGTCAAATGCAGGACCCTCCTGAAAATAATCTTTAACTGCTAAATAAGAAATTAAATTGGAAAACCCTCAAACACAGTACACTTATTTACCAGGTGAGGCCCACTGAGCTGCATAGCTTTTCAGAATCGGCCTGGACACAAATGATAGCTCAACTTAGTGGCTTATAATATGGAAATGTATTGCAGACAAATTCTCAAATTGCATGTTTCTAAATGTGGAAGGAAAATAAATGCCACTACGGGGAGAGAGAGAAAATAAAAAATGTTAAGTCCAATTATAAATGCGTCAGGGTTGGAATCGAACCCACAACATCCTTCATACCATGTGAGGGAGTTAACATCTCGCCACCACAGCACACCACACACACGGTACTCACACACACAGAGTACTCTAACACACAAAGTACACATACGCAGAGTACACTCACACACACAGAGTATACCCACAGAGTACTCACACATAGAGTACTCTAACACAGAGTAATAAACACACAGAGTACACTCACTCACTTGAAGTATTTTTCCTCCGGATCCTCCGGTTTTTCCCTCCACATTTAGAGTCAACTTCACCACGCGTTTAGAGTATTTGACCGATATACATTCCCACACGTTCATAAGCTAAAGTGGGCTTGGCATGGTAAAATAAAAAAAAACAGTAGAAATATTTGAAATAAAAAAAACGTTTCAAAGTAGCGAGCCAGGTGAAGACAAATTGAAACTTAAGCAGAGAATTAAAGCAAATGCAATCAGGCGAGGGCAGGAGGCAAGGCCCCACGTGGCTAGGCCCCGCAAGGCTAGGCCCCGCGTTGTAATGTTCCAACCTGGACATCGATTCCGTACTCGCTGCTACTCAATTGATATCCCTACGAAAGAGAAGGAGCGAGGCTCTACCTGGGTGAACAACAACAACAATAACGATTTGAACTTCTCACCTCGGACCTTAGCGAGAGCGCGCGCGGAGCGGAAGCTTCCTGGTATCCTGTGACGTCACGCGGCAGCAGGAAGGTGACATGACGTCACTTGAGGGTTACGCCTCCCCCTCGCGTCTCACGCCGACGAGGTAATGCAGTGCTGACGTGTTAATGCAGAGTGGTGACGTCATAGAGCGGGGTTAGAGTTTGTCGATTTAGCCTCCTATTCCATTCCTCCTTCTCTTGAACATTGACTCCTTGGGTGCGTGAGCTCAACGACAACGTGAATGTGTGTACACACACACACACATAGTGTGTGTGTGTGTGTACACTATGTGTGTGTCCACTGTTGGCAGAGTCGGAGGCACAGGTGGTGCATCGGCCAGTCATCTCAGTCGACCCATGGCACCTGAGTCTGCCCTGTGACCTGCCTGCGGGCATTCGACACTTCACGTGGCCTAAACATGCACATAGCCTGGCACAAGCGCAGTGGTGACGTCACCGGCACGTCGTGGCGAATGGCGGTCGTTGTTCTTGTTAAAGTGTCTGCGTATGTACCAGACTGTGTACACTGCGTCTGTGTACGCTCTGTGTGTATGTACATGGTGTGTGTGTACGCTCTGTACATTGTGTGTACACAATACATGGCTACACTGCGTATGTCTACACTGTATGTGGGCGATCCGAATCAGTCGGGGGGCATTATATTTTCATCAGCTGCGCATTGCTGTGTGGAAGCTACCTGGTCTGTCGCTCCGCACGGAGCTTCGGGTCTTCTCAGCCAGTCATGCCCTCCACTTTATAGGAATGTGAAACGTGGACCCCTCTACATCTGCGCCAGTTGGAAACATTCAGGCTGGCATGCCAACACTCAGATTGAGGGAAGCCAAGTGGTAGCGCATTCTCTATTTATTGCAGAGATTCAAAGTACAAATCCGACAGGCACCCCTGGCTACTCGAGTAACATTAACAAACATATGCACCGTCTGCTTAACAGCGGATGTTAAACATACTATTGTGTCATTCAAAACGCATAGGTCATTGCATGTTGGTGTCACGGTCAAAATTTGGGTAATTTCAAACATCCAGAAATTACACAACGGAGTTCGTATTCTTGGTTCTTTCGGTAAAGTCACGTAGATCGAAAATAAAATAAAAGATAATAAAATTTAACAAAATTAAAAATACTTTGAAAATAATGAAAGCAAAAAACCCACGACGTTTCGATCGCAACGCAAGCGGTCTTCATCATTTTTTATTTTCGATCTACGTGACTTTACTGAAAGAACCAAGAATATTAATTCCTGCAGTCACGAAAGCTTCAAATAAAGTTTAAACCACCTCTACGTGGAGGATTTAAGTTTGTTTTCTATTTCATTTATTTTATTTTCTTCGTAACTTTACCGAAAGAACCGACGAGTAATTCCTGCAAACGCTTTCCCATACAGAGTGCACTTGAAGGGTTTCTCTCCTGTGTATCTTCTCTGGTGCTGCTTCTAGTGTCCCGTGTGATCCGTGCAATAAGGACACAGTGGTGGCACTGGTGTTTTTTTTGTACTGAGCTGTGCTGAGTGTCTTTTCTCCATCAGACCAATTCTGCGGTGAAATGTGGCAGAGGAAGATTCAACTGCATAGATCATTTCAATATCCACACCATCTAAGTCAGCATAGCGGCACACAGGCATGCATTTATACACAGTCACACATGACTTACACATCTATATAGATGCCGACCGAAATTCGGTTTCGGCACCGAAAGTTGGCAAATGGCCTCTTTCGGCATACTTTCGGTTTCGGCCGAAAGTCAATTTTTAACTTTCGGTCTCAGCCGAAATTGATATTGACTTTCGGTCGTCATTCGTCAACCGAAGATCTATTTTTAGAATATAACGCTAGTGCTACGTCTATCACTCTGCTATCGGCTGGTCAGTTGGTGCTAGGCAATCCTATGCGATAGGCTGCAAACACACACACACGTCAGCAGCAGCTTGGGAGCGAGGTTACAGCCGCAACCATAGTCTGCTATTTCAATGCTAAATTATATGCTAATTCCTTTAACAATGGGTGCCTCTGCAGGTGTGTATGCTTTAACTTTTAACATAGCTATTTCTGTGACCAGTCACAAGCTAATCATTCAGCCATTTCAATGCTAAATTATATGCTAATTCCTTTGTCAAGGCGCTTTGTTCCTCTCACACAGCTTAAAGGCCGTATCTGAACGTGGCTCTTTCACTCCAGCGCTGTCCTACCAGACAGTCTCGCCCCCTTCACCTGATGAAGGCCGCTTGTGTTGTGGCCGAAAAGTCGTTAGAATATTATTGTGTTATTTTATTTTATCAATTTATTATTTTATTATCATTCTACGTGACTTTACCGAAAGAACCAAAGAAGATGAATCATTGCAGTCACGAAAGCTTTAAATCGAAACATAGTCTGCTAATGTATATATGACCGGTCAACAGACGGCAGCCTGTCTGGCTGAAGGTGGAAAAACTGTTGTTTCTTAACTACAACATTCGTTTGTTTGGAAATAATTACTAAGTAATTAACACCTAAAGATTTGATATTTAGCAACTCTTACTGCAGGCTCTGAATGATTAGTTCTAGATTTATTTTTTAATTAAAGTAGCATTGCATCATGACATATTTCATGAATCTTGTGTTCGGTAACTTCGGTTACATACCTTTCTGTTTCGGTCTCGGTCGAAAGTGGAGTTAAACTTTCGGTTTTGGCTTCGTTTTCGGCCGAAAGTGAAGTTAAAGTTTAAGTTTTGACCGAAAGTTAATTTTTAACTTAATTTTTAACTTTCGGTCTGTTTTCGGTTTCGTCCGAAACCAGAAATTCAGTTTTGGTCGGCCTCTACATCTATATGTATTCATAAATTCATGATATATTGAAAAGGCTTCCCTAATTCACTACACTGACTGTTCAGGCACACCATGTGAGGGCAAGTGGCAAGAAATATGCCTGGAAGCCTTGGTATCTTCAAGATGTATGTCAACCCAGAACTCCACACACATAATTTCAGCTGTCTGGCTACAAAAGGAATATTCCTTTAAACCAAATTCAGCTAACATAGCAAAGGGTATTGGAAATTAAACGATTTGTACTGTGCACACATTTTGCAAAATACAGGCTTAGAATTGCTTGAATGCTCGGAGGAACAGATGTAACTTCAGTTGGTTATGTGCCATGCAACTATGCTGTTTCAATGATGATAAAAAAAAAAGTTCCAGGGAGACAAACAGCCCTATGGTTTAGATTAAACCTCTGTGTTGGAATAAAAAAAAACCTTTACATTCTCACACTGGCACCTTCATCTGCTCACTTCTGATGCTTCCGCGCTTCACCAATTCGTTGAGGATTAATTAACCTAGCGAAGGCCCACAATTTTAGCTATCACGTCAATTTTCTATCTCATTGTTCGGTTCATGATGTAGTCCACTAACTGCATCACTGCTCCCCATACAGACCTACTTTTATGTAAACATTTCACACGGGTCAGTAAAAGGTCGTAGTCTGACCTTAAGGTCGTAGTCTGAGCTTGGCTCTGTTTCACTCCAGCGCAGTCTTCGAGACAAGCTGGTCCCTTCACCTGATGAAGGCCGCTTGTGTTGTGGCCGAAACGTGATTTTTGTTTTATTTTTTTACCTACGTGACTTTACCGAATAGAACCAAAGAGTATGGATCCTTGCAGTCACGAAAGCTTCAAATCTAGAATTGGTGGTGACATCACAACGCTTGTGTCAGGCTAGGTGCAAATTGAGGCCATGTAAGTGTTTAACACTTGTCAGCCAGTCATTTGTCAGACCTGGTTGTTATGGGTTGACAGACTGATGCACCACTTGTGCTCCCCACTGTCACCTCACTGCACTTTAGCTCAGTTGCTCGACAAATTCATGTGAACATCGCTCCTCCACCTGATGTTTGCGGCAGGGTGAATATCTTTCATTAGGCACCACCAGAGGCCAATCTTGACACTTTTGCTACCAGTCATCGGCATGTAGACTCTGCTACAAAGTCTCCTGTATGGCATTAGCCCAGATATTATCTTGATAATGCTGCACTCATTTAGCCCCTGCTTATCTATATGAATATATTCTGCTTGAGCATGCGGTATCTTGGCATGCAAGTTTCATGACCCAGTGAACTCAGTCAAAACTTGTCAGAGAGGCTGATGGTTCTCTGTCTTGATCTCTTAGTGATATGTAAGCACCTGAAAGAAACCAGTCTGGTACAACCAATGGTGATTTGTAGGCAAGCCACTCTTAATTTTCTAAGTGAAACCAAACGCTCGTGTAAAGCAGTCAATGTTTCGCATTCACAAACCACGGCTGAATAACTCTGGCCAAGACGACTCAGAGCTTGGTATGGACCAACAGTCCAGGCATCTTCCAAATGGTGTGATGCAGTCAACTCAACGATAACATTCCACAACTAATTTGAAGTGAGTCTTTGGCGGCCAAGTCAGAGCTGGTAATGAGCACAGTAGCCAAGAATGGGAGCTTCTCCACTACCTGCAGAACTGCTCGATTACTCATGAAAAGTTGAGGTGGTGGAGTGTTGAATGACATGAAATACCAAGTCAGATGCTCTGTTTTAGTCGAATATATAAAAGGTCCCACCTCTTAGAAGCACACTCCAGTGAGTAGCCATTACCAGATCATGAGCATACATATCATAGTGGACCAGCAGGGAACGGTCCCTTGAATACAAAAATGCGAATTCTTCTTATAGTGCCATTGAATGATGATGAGCATACCCATCACACCCCAAGTTGAACAGGAAATGGCCCAGACTCCTGGTCACGAAGGTGTGGCCAGCCCTATCCACCACCATGACAATAAGAATTCAAGTGAGCAGAGGGGAAGGGTCCTTGAAAAAATAAAGAACCCAATGCCTTGGCCACAATGAGGATCTGCAAGCCTCGTTCCAGCAGGTCTGGCAAGCCAATTATGAATAATTATCATCTGGTAATCAGTGGTCTTTAAAGGTATTCTTCCTATCCCAGAAAGCCCATCATTTAATCCACCCAGTTGCAATAATATTTTGTACTGCAGCCTGCGCAAAAACTGCCACCCTCCTTGAGCAGTTTAATTTGTAAGTAATTTATGCACGGCGCTATAACTGCTCGCAAGCTCTGGAAGGCTCTTCACACCTCAACAGGTGACACTTAAAACAGAAAGTAAAGAGTGACGAATTCTAATATTCGTGACTGCGCAGCCTCATCTTGCCCCATGATGCTGCTTGGGCTACAGGGTTTTCCCAAATGGAAGACCCCACAAATACTCTGTAAATCTGCAAACCTGTTTTGTCGGCCTACATAATTAATCACCGTTCTTTCCCTTAATGTTACTAATAATTTTGGCATTGCAAGTTACTTTGATTAAACTAAAAAGTTATTGGCGATTGCGAGCTGCTGTAGCAGCTTCCATCACCACAACATACCATGACCACTCCACATCCTTGCAGTGTCGGACGGCTCCCGGCTGTCCTAAGCCTCCTCACTCTACGACATAGATTGTTGGACACGGTGAAACACCTCCTCAGCAAGCTGATAAATCTCGTCCATAATTTCCACATGAAACCTCATTAAAAAAGTCAATCCAAATATTTCAAAGTAAGCTTCTATCTACTATGTTGTTTTACCAGGTAAGGCCCACTGAGCTATGTAGCGCTTTTCCAGAACTAGACCTGGCCAACAATTACAGCTCAATCAAGTGGCTTATCACTTGGAAATTTCAAGCAGCCAAATACTATGAATGCATGTTTTAAATGTGGAGGGAAAACACCGATGATCCAGAAAAAAATCTCAGGGACCACGGAGGTCAGAATCGAACCCACGACATCCTGCATATCAGGCAAGCGAGTTAACATCTTGCCACTGGGGCAAGCCAGCATGCACCGTCAGCTCCAAGGAGACATGTTTTGATGTCTTTTGATTTCCAAAAATTAGAGCCATTGTTGCTGGCCACGTGGAATTCTGAGCAGTCATATTGGATGAGAGGCTGCCATTCCTATATTGGGAGTTGGACTGATCACGTCTAGATCTGTGTCATATCTGGGGGTCTAATGGGTTGGATCTGGCTTTAGTCACCACGAGGGGGTACGGTCCTCTAGTCTCAGGATAAGACCAAACAGTGAGTGGCTCTTCTTCGGAAAAATATAACTGTGTGAGAGAGCGATGGCGAGAAGTGGGAAGCAGAGACTGCTGAGTGTACCTTTGAAGGTGGATATGGTGCACAAAGGGGTGGCCATCGCATTACAAATACAGGACACACACAATACAAACTCACTCAACACGGCTCGATTATTGAAACTCACTACTCTACGGACCGTCTGGTAAAAAAATATAACATTACAAGCTGCGGTGTGAACAAATTTCGTAGGCAAATGTCGTGTCGGGTACTGCAGGATCTGACCACGTCCGTGGAGTATTCGCTGAGTTGCATTGGCTTCCAGTTGCTAAACGTGTACATTTTAAGGACGCACTCATTACACAGAAGTGCTTGCCACAAATTAACCACAATACCTTGCTGATCTCGTCAAGGAGCACAAACCACCACAATTCTCTGGTCATCTTCGCACCGGCTTTTGGCTAACCATCGACAAACGGAGTTCACTTAAACACAAAGTACACTGACAGAAATATTTATGTCCGTGCAAGTGCTGTTAGCCAGCGCATTATTGATACACAGTGTACACACA